TCGCCGTACTGTTGGGAGGGAGAAGCGGTGGGGGGGAGATGTTCATGTTGCTGCAGTCTGCAGTCTGACCGCTAGATGTCGCTAAAAGTTACACACTGTAGCTTTAAAGATTGAAAACTTTGTTGTGCCTCTGCAGCACATGTAAACTTGTTAAAACTATTTTTGAGCTTTTTTTTATTATTTAAAAAGGTTGGGTATTTACTAATATTATGCTACTGCAATAAAATAATAATTTTCCATCATTATTTTAAAGCTCTATACATGTATTTCAATGATAAATGTTATGCTTATGCAAAAGACTGGAATAAAAGTGCATAAAAATAAGCCACACTGTTTCTGAAAACAGTAAATGTTTTTTCTTCAGTGCAATCAAGAAGTGATTGCTGCAGCTGCTTTCAGTCAAGGTTCTAAAAAAACCAAAAAAACAAGGACAGACACTTCAATGGTCTGACAAGATGGAAAGAATATGTATAGCTTAACATTTGCAGATGAGCCACATAACTTAATCTAGGGCTGCAGCTAACGATTATTTTGCAAGTTGATTAATCTGTGAATTATTTTTTCAATTAATCAATTTATAATCGGATAGCAAAAGGTTGCTTAAAGAAGATTTTTTATGACATTAAACCAGGTGAAACTAAATCCTTTCAACTTGAGTAGTTCTGGATAGAGCATATTGATGGACCAAAACTTTTTTTAAATCTTAAATGTAAAATGTTAATCTGTATAATTAATATTCTAAGTGGGTTGCTCTGTCAGCTAAAGGCATGGTTTACACTTTCTATATTCCAGTTAACAATTAATCGTAATAAACACTAACTAAAATAGTTGATTAATCCACCTAATTGTTTCAACACCAATTTAATCCTTTTCTCATTTCACCATGATTCCATCGCCTATGAAGATTTTGGAGCAGGGGGTTTCTTTCTTGGTAGGTACTCTCTTATTTAATGATGATGTAAAACTTTTATAGTACAAGTGGTGTTCTCACTATCTTTTAGATAAGTATATCTAAGCCAGTATCCAAATTATTTTAAATTAAAACAATATATATCAACATATAGCCTCTTTAATTTGATAGGGAGGACCTGAAATATAACAACTTTTAGTCTGACAAAAGTATAAAATGTAAAGATGCTTATCCAGTATGGATAATAATAAAGGTAACCATAGTAACTATTAACTTTTTTTTCATCTACCCAATCTGGAAAAGGATTAAAAATGAAATGCATCAGAAAAACAATTTACATCTGCTAAAATTTGATTGGTTATGAGCCAAAGACCCTTGAAGCGTCTGAAAATCAAGATCCGCAGATAGATCCTTGTTGACATAATTTGAACAAGCAGATTACTGTTGGAATGAAGCAGCATTATACTGCAGATTTCAGGAAATGTTGATCTGCTCCATCCGTTCTCTAAACAACAACTCAAAGACCTTAAGGAGAGCAGTAAATTCCTCAAACATTGGAAGGATTCCAGTGTGCACAGTTAGTAAAAACAGGGAAACAGGTTTAGATCTTTCAAAAACTGCCAGAGAAATTTTAAAACCGCTTATGAAAAAGCAACATAAAGCTTCAGAGGATCAAGAGAATAAACACCGACTGAAGCCATTGGTAGGTGGCACCGCCAAGAAGGGGGAATGGCTCTCTGGACTTTTGTGATTGCTGTTCAGAATGTGATTTTCATGAAAATGCTAAAAAATGACCTCAAGAATTATCCATCTATACTCAAATAAAACTGAATGAAAACAATTCTCTCAGCAGCTAGTTATTTATTTATTTATTTATGTTTTAACTTTTAGGTTAAATATTCAAATATTCTAAATATACTGTAATATATAATATACATTTTATATACATTTTAATTTTAGGTAAGAATTAAAACCCTTTGAACTGGGCCGATATGTCTGAACTTCGCACATGTCTAATTGAAAACTCAGACTGCAGAAAGCTTTGCTCCATTTAATTCAACTTACTGACATTTAAGACCCTACTAAATAGATTTTTCAATGTTAGAATGCTTCATTTACTCTAAAAGCAGTGATAATGTGTGTGTGCGTATTAGATCATTGTCCTTCTGGAATATCCAACTTTGAGTTTCAGCTGTTCAGCTAGATAATGGTGGGGGATACGGTGGAAGACATTTGGGATACAGCACCTTCTTTGTCATTTATATCTACTGTATAATGCAAAAGTAAAGCAGAAAACACAGCATGATGCTGCCACCACCATACTTGATAGTAGGAACAGTGCTTTTTTGTCATGATTGAGATTGATTCTGTTTTTATAATAGAGTGAAAAACAGTTTTATGTTATTTCCAGGTTGGAGTTGTGAACAGAGTGGTGAGTAAGTGATGGGTCTGTGGTGTCAGGAATATGACAAAAGTGAACCATGAGCATATATTATGCTCCGCGGGCGCATTGAGGTATCTTATCTGTATTTACCACAAGCTTGTATCTAGTTAAGGTGTTTATGGCAATGGTAGAGGCAAGTTTTAACAGCAGGAATGATGGAGGAAGGCAACAGAAATGGATGGTAGCCTACAGTAGAAGACAGTTTAAACAATGGCGTAACGACACAAAAATAGGCCCATAAACAACATTATCTGGGTGGGCCCAAAATGAAGTACAACACCCCCATCCCCTACCCGCACCCTCTTCGCTAACGCATTGCACATAACCATTATGGTTATAATATATGCTCTGGATTACCCATAATTCCAAGTCGTAGTGTAAAAAATAAAATACTCAAATACATCGTTCTTTTAAGACCTTTATTGCGTTTGAAACATATTATATGAGTGTATTTTTTACCAACTGTCTAATGAACTATACACAGTTATTAACATAGTAATTAAAAGTACCACTGTCTGCTTTGCTGTTGGTGTTGTGTTTAAACGGCTCACCATCTTGTTGAAATCTGCCATGTGTTGGGGTATAAATATGGTCTGGTCAGTCAATCTAGTATCAGGTGGGTTTCAGAGGAATTTTTCACACCATTACATCTGCAAAGAGATGTCCTAGTCCAAAATTGCGTAGGGGACCAAGCAGATGTCAGTGAAGGGGCCCCTAAGAGATTGTGGGCCCCTAAGCAACTTCAGTTTCTGCTTACTGATAGTTACGCCATTGACTTTAAGGTAGAAAGGCTAGAGGTTGCAGAGAAATTGTGAATGTATTCCACTCAAGCAAGATGTTAAAGCCAGGAGGCACAAACACAGTGGAATTATGTTGTCCAGCTTCTGGTTTATTGAGAATGATAGACTGAGCTCCAGGTTTTATTTCTGGATTCAAAGCAGTAGATGTTAGGGAAAGTGTTCTTGAAGGTAAAGATCAACTAAAACAACAGGAGAATTTCTTGTAAAAAAAAAAATACATAAAATATAGCTGCTTATGATTCTTAGGGTCTCTGGGCTTTTTCAGTTTTTTCTGGTGTGAGTGAGCTTTCTGTCACAGAAAGGATCTCTACTGGTGTCTGGGCCAGCCCATTGCTGCACACCTGAGAACATTTCTCAATCAGGACGACTAGTGTGTATATAAGAAGGGAAAGGATAATTATTCTTCACAGGATGATTGCCCCTGATGGTATTCCAGTCAAAGACCAAAACCAGGAATACCTTTCTTGTAGAAATTTGTCTTCTTGTGAATGTCTTTCAACGTGGAAATTGTTATTGTTCCAGACAACCAGTGAACCTCAGTTTTTCTCTGATCCTAATGAAAAAGGTCTTACCTGTGGGCAGCAGTTCTCAGCCTTCATCACCTGCCTGCCCGCTCTCTTTTCAAGTACCAACGCTCTAACTTACGTTCTCCTGGACCTCTGGGATCCAGTCTGCAAATCCTGCTGAACCCCTACAGATCCATGCTACCTCCCCTTCATCCCTCAAGTAAGCAAATCAATTAGTCATCAGTTGCCATCAACCAACTCCCTCCTGATCAGTCTGCTTTCTCCCCTCAGACCAACCAGAAAGTTCAGTTGACCTCCTCCAGCTCTCTGCTTACAGGTTCTTGTTGCTTTTGTAAATAAAACCTTAAAACTCACTGATTCTCCTTATGATTCTAAATGTGTGTCAGAAAACTACAAACCAACATGACAATGATGATTAGAAGAGACAATGAGCTGAAGGGGATATATTTGATGGATCACATTTTCTAAGAAGCTGCCACCCAAGGCATGTTATGTAAAAAGATTTGTTTGAAAAGTTCTCCAAATTAAAGACCAGAGTTAAAAACTCAAGCAGCATTAGGATACCAGATGTAGAGAGCCTGATTTCTGCTCATGTGGACACAACAATCTGTCATCTGCCTCAGGAAACCCACTCTCTTTAAGGTAATCTTGACTTGCCTTAAAAGAGTACTAGCTGAAATACATTGATTAAGAGTCTTTGAATTTGTTTAATTATACTTCACTATGAGAGTCCAAGCGTGGGTCAGACCTCTAGAACAGTTGATATTTCCATGGCAAAATGGTCAGGGAACACAAACCGGAGAACTATTCATAAAACAAATAAAGCTGCCATTTCTGAAGATACTATACCTACGATACCTACTAGAGTTAGCAGAAAATCTATGAAGATAGATTTCTCAAATGTGTAGCTACAGATATACCAACAGTGCCACAAAAAAACTTGTGGTTAAGATCCAACTTGCTGGATGGTATGTTTCTATTTGAGTCTGACAGTATCCTTTATACCCTGTCCATGAAACATGCAAACTTAAAGAAAAATAAATACAAGAATTACTGCATGTTTTGGTTTTACCATATAAGCCTAAAAGAAAAACTATTTAAAGCAATCGCAAAACAGTTAATAACATTTTTGCACAAGATACTGTAGATGTAAACCTATGACCAGAACCTAATTTGATTTTATAATAAATTAATAAATGCAACAACAATCTAGGAGTGCAAAACTTGCCCCCGGGATAAGATTAATTCCTTTATAAATGATCTTTTCTGTATTAAGTGTAGAGACTATCTGTTGGTGTGTGTGTGTTATGTGTACTAACAGGAATTGGAGCTGTCATCTTTGGTCCCGTCCAGACTTCCATCCTGGCCCATCTGAAGATAGAAGCCCTGTCTGCAGAACAACCTGGTCACTATGCCCTTCAGCTGTGGTTCTACAAGCAGAAAGCACAGCAAAGAAGAAAGTGATGAGAAAAAACAACACACCATACATAATTACAGAATGTTTCAGAAGAGTTTGAAATAACTTTAGCAAGTGTTGGTCACTAATGCACAATGTCATCCCGTGAACTCAGCTCTAAGATGCACCATGGAGGGCACCTTTGTGATAAAACACCTTTTTAAATAAGCACAATGTGACCACATGTGACCTCCTGCACCCTGAGGGATTTCCTTTGCAGAGTCTAGTCAAGCACATCCAATCCATTACAGGATTTTTGAACTAATCCGTCCTTCGTGGTCATTGTTCCACTTGAATAACATTGATAAATTATTTCTGAGGCTTTGATGCTAAAGTGCCGCCTCGCAGCAGTTTTCTACATACCCAGCAGGCCTTGTGATTGTACAGTATATTGATCTACAGTTACAAATATCTCCCGTTTTCCTTTTTGATATGGTGTAAACAAGCCAGCAAAAGATGGACGACCTGAAAAATAGCGCATTAAAACCTAATACTCTTCAGTAAAACTTTTCTTAATGCTTATAATTTTTCAGCATTCTTATTTAACAAAACACTATTTTTCCAGGCAGAAATCCAAACATCTAAGGACCCTAATGTTGATATTTACCTGTAAAAAAATACATTGAATAAATCAGAACACAATTTTTGTTATTCCCTCAGGAATTACTACATAACGTTAAGAAACAATTATCTAAACAGATGAATAATTTCTAATTGGACAAATAATTTAATACGATGTTATTTTACCACATATTTTATTGACCTGGATTTTTTGCATTAGTAACACAATCCAGTTATTCTAAAAAACGTTTAAAAGCTAATTAGACCTTATTCCAAACCATTCAAGTTAAACTTTGGTTCTTGGACATAAAATCAATGCTGAACTGTGATATTATTGCAATATTTTATTGATTATAGATAATCAGTCAATAATAAGCTTTTATCTTTTCTTTATTATTGTCAGACAATATTTTTCTCCTTTAACAAAGATGGCTGCCTTCACTCCATGTTTAATCCATCTTTCCTTTCTGTCCAACATCCATTTTATCTAAACATTTTTCTAATTGATCTAACGTGATTATAAAATTTTCTAACTCTTAATTTGGCAGGTTTTTATATCTGCCAGCTACAATTTTGAAGAAGTGCGATGTTTAAATATATTTCACTCTATGAGTAAAGCATTCATTTTTGGAAATTTTTGGAAATGAATGATGAAAAATAATGAATTTTATCAGAACATTCTTTTTTTTATGCATCTTTATCTTTGCAGGAATGGAAGTACAAACACATGAACTGATGGATAATGGGTAAATGGAAGGATAGATGGACTATATGGACTATAATAATAGGGCAGATGGAAGATATATAAATGCATAGACAGACAAAAGGATTGCACTGACACATAGATTGAGAAAAGGACGCATCGAAGGGTGGACAGCCAGAAAACCGATTAATGAATGGATGGTGAGATATAGATGAAGGAACAGACAGACTGATAAAGGTAAAGGGATCGGTTGGATAAATGTATGAAAAGCTGTACAGATGTTCAGGAAAACAGGACAAAAAGTGATTTCTCACACAGAGACCCAGCCCATTCTGTCATTTAAAAAAAAAAACGGAAAAGAAAAGACGAGCAAACAGCTGCAGCTGGAGAGTCAGTGTAAAGGTCACCTTGAATGTACCTCAGAGATATCCCTCAAAATAAGGATGAATGACAAGTGACAGGAAAAAAAAGCCTTTCACATTTATCCCACAACTATAAATCGGCATATTTATTGACTGACAGTAAAGGGATAAAAAAAAAAAAAAAAAATCTAGGGTTTTAAAAGCTTATAATGTGTTTTTGTTTATAAAATCATCAAGTAATTTAGATCCAAGTCTGATTTACTATTATTTAAATCCTTTTTTATTGCAGCTAAAAAAAAAGTCTACTTGACCTTAAGCTTGCATTAAAAATAATAAGTAAAAAATAAAATAACTAACACCAGCTTTCTTCACCATAAGGACCTAAGACAGCTCTCCTAGCATGGCCGCTCACCCAGATGCATAGGACCACGCCCATGATCACCCCATGAATCCCACTCCAGTGACTCTGCAGTTATAATGAGTGCGGGAATCCCCTTTGAGTGTGCGAGAGACAGAAGGTGAATCATTAAAGGTGCACCCTCTAATGCACGGAGACGGAAAAGAGCTCCGATTGACCCAGTTTGTGAGGAGGAGCGCCAGCCGAGTGTTAGGGGTGTTTTCCATCTTTGAGGGGTCCATGTTGTGCAGCAGGAGGAGAGAGGAGCGTTGATGCTCCAAACAAGCACTTCAACTGCAATTCCCAGCGCATCATTTGCCATGTTTTGAGGGGAAGTCAATAAAAAAGAAAATAAATTACAATCAGAGTAGACAGATAATTAATTCTGCCAGTCAATGCATATTAAAATTCTTCTTAAAATGACTTCTGATGTCAGTCCTTATCCTTTATAGTTAGAAATCATGATATAAAAAATAAAGATAAGAACATTTCTCCCTCAAGTCAGTCTCACCATCCTCCCAGACAGCCTGTAAGCACACGGATCCTGCATATCTTTTATAACGAATTCCTGACATCTCTATGTATAACACGTCTTAGTCTTTAGTTTATTTGAAATACAGAATATTATCTTCCACCATTTATTTATTGCACTTGTGAGGGTTGGAATGAAAAAAGGAGGTAGTTTGAAAAGAAACTACACAAGCACAGAGGAAAGGAAAGGGGGAAAAGGAGGGTAGCTAGAATACACAAGAGGAAAGATGGATGACTGGAAGAGAGACAGAGAGGATAGGACACAAGGAACGACAAATAAAAAGAAGACAATACGTTGAGAAGAACGATGCATGAAAGTGAGAAAATAATACACGTGGACAAAGGAAAGGATGACAGGAAGGAAGTAAAGAAGGAACAATATTTAATGATAAGGGAAAAAATTACGCGAAAGGAAGAAAAAAAAGCAAAAGAATGAAGAAAACTGGAAAAGGAAGGAAGAAAAGAGACAAAGAATGCAGGGTAAGACACAAGAAAGTGAGGTGGGACATAATGAAAGGAGGAAGGACAGGAAGGACGATAAGAAAGGACACAGGAAAAGAAAAACATGGGTAAAAAAATAAAGATGTGAAATAAAACAGAATGAAAACCAAAAAAATAGATAAGGAATTAAGACAGGACGGAAGCTGGATTCAATAAACAATAAAAGGACAGAAGGGAGAAGGACAAAAGGAAGGAAACAACTGAGGAAGGAAGAAAGGAAAGTCTTTGATTAGTCAATATCTGTTTTGCAAAAAGTAAAAAAAAAATAGGAAAAGTAAAAATGCAACATAAAAGACATGATGAACTCAAATAAAACCAGACTCTGCAATATTACTGTGATCTTCTTCAAGTGCCGAAACCAGACCCTCTCTGTTCGTCAATCTGGTCACATCAGCCTCAGTGATTTCCTCTCATTATGCCTCAAGCAGGTGAGTTATATAAAGTTTATTTATATCTAAAATATAAATATAAATTGGTTTAATAAGATCATAAATTCTCATATCTGTTAACGAATACACTGCAATGTTTTTGGACCAACTGTAACAGACAAAGCAATGATTGCTTTAAATGAGAGAATAGTTCAATCTAAGGGTAATTAATGTTAAATAACTGACCTAAAGATATTTCCTATGGCTTCCCAGACCTGGAAAAATATACAAAAAGTGTTTGGTTTTTTTTTACCTTCAGTACTGGAGCTGGAACCACATCTAACTCAACCCCCCGGCTCTGTGTGTTGGATGATAAAGAATAACAGAAGCAGGTATATTTTGGCGGCCTCATCAGAACACAATTCAGGCTTGTGACTGAGCTGACAAAAATGTTCAAGGTTGCAGAGTTTCATTAAAAACAAAAAACTTCCTTAAAGTTGGTTTGACGTCTAAACTAACACCCACATCTGCTCAGAATGAGCTGAGTAAAACAAGCAGTCAGTTGTTTTCCTCCTATATCCAACTGGAAAGATGATAAAACTCACTCTGGGTCACAGTCTATCTGGACTTTTGGGGGAATTAACCTATTCCAACAGGTTATACTAAGATATTATTCTCTATATCTGTGAAAATAAAGTATAGCATGCACGGTTTTTAACATGCATTATTATAGAGGTTTGTCTCTACCAGCTTTTTAAATCTAAAGAAATATTTCTTCCAGCAAAATACTGCCATCACTGTGTTACACCATGGGGACGTTCTACTCCAGTTTTCACTACCTAGCCATTTGTATACAGGCAAAGGGTAAATAACTGGGTCTTAGTGCACAGAGTATGTTCTTACACAGTGTGACATTTATAGCTTGTAGTGAAACTATGAGCAGTGAATCTTGTTGTAACTCTTCCATTAAAACTGAATTTTTTTTTATCAAATTAGGTGAAACTAAAACTTTTCCACTAGAGGAGTACTAGATAAAGAATATTGATGGAGGAAAACATTTTCTTTATCTTAAATCCAAATGTTTAAATATTTTCTTACAGTTTTAATATAATTTCTGCTCTAAATGGGTTTCTCTGTCAGCTAAAGGAATTTTTTTGGGTCTCTATACTCCAGTTACTAGTTGACGATTAGTTCAATTATCGATTAATCACGAATAATGCGATTAATTGTTTTAGCCCTACTGGGAACTGTGTCCTAATAGCTTTAGTTGTGTTGTAATCGATCCATTTGAAGATGCTGGGTGAAGCAATTTTCTATCAGATGTTTCAGTTTGGAAAATAATCTGATCTTAATTCAATAAATCTCTTTCCCTGATCTGTCAGCTGCGTTCCTTGGTCTACATGAATCTTTTCTTCCCACTAATGTCGTCTATTAAACCTCTAATGCCTTGAAAATAACAGACGTAACTTAACCAAGATTAAACTTCACACATTCAACTGTTTTTTTTAATAATTTTAAAAACATTCACACTTTTTCCTCGGCTTTACAGTT